GACTCTGTGTATTCCTTCCATCTTCTTTTGATGCTTTCTGCATCATTCAATAATTTGCCCAGAGAATCTTTCAATAACAAAAGCTGAGGCTTAAATTTGTTCTTCAGTTCCCTCAGCTTTAGCATTGCTTATGTGTGTTCTTCCCTTTTGGTTTTCTAACTCCAGATCTTTGCACATTTTGTTGTAATATGTGGCTTTATCTTCTCGAGCTAACCTGTAAATTTTTCTGTTCAGCTCTTGTACCTCCTCTTTTCTCCGGTTTGCTTTAGCATCTCTATGCTGGAGAGCAAGTTTCAGTGTCTCTTCTGACATCCATTTTGATCTTTTCCTTCTTTCTTGTCTTAGTGACATTTTGCTTTCGTCATGTTTGAAGTTGTTGATGTTATCCCACACTTCTTCTGGTCTTCGGTCTTCAGTGTCTAGTGTAATACTACAGACCTACATTTCAGTACCAATTTTGGATAATGTAGTTTATAAGTTTATAATGAGTTTGCCTGTTCTCTGACAAAAGAAATTTGTTTTTCTAGGATTTGCTATGAGAGTGATATATTCTGAGCTTGGAGGCTGGGCAATGGGCTAAGGTTACAACAGTTTATACTTAATGGGAAGTTTTGGTGGAGTGACTTTCCTTCTTTAAAGCATTGCTAATAAGCGTTTTATTTTGTTGAGGGTTAAGTGGTTTAGTAGTTTTGTAAACCTTTAATATTCAGAAAACATATTTCATATTTGGTCTCCCAAATTTCAGAATTTCCTAAGAGAATTTTTCTAGTTAGGAATCATTTCTTTTTAATACTTAATTTTAAAAGGCATTTTCTATTTAGCCAAAATGTTTATATTTTCAAATTGTTCTTTAAATTTTTCAAGAAAACTCTTGCTCTTAGTTTATTTGTAGCAATTAGTATCTAAAAGTTTGCTTTCTGGTTCTTACTTTCCCCCATTTTTTCTCACTCTTAAGAGCTTGGGTTGATTAGTTTTTTAAGCCACTTTGACTTGATTTTTTTAAAATAACCATAACTTATATAGAATAGTTGCCAGTCTAGTACATAATTGCTTTTTCCCCCATAACATTGACAAAGTGGTACACTAACATCCCTAAACATCTTAATGTGTATTTCCTACAATATGGACTTTCTCCTTTATAATCATGATATACCCATCAAAACCTGGAGATTAGCATGGATCTATTCCTGCTATCTTATCCTCAGACCTCATTTAAATGTGCCCAACTGTCCCAGTAATGTCCTTTGTAGTTGTCATGTCTCTGTTGTATCTTTCAATCGGGAATAGTTCCTCAGATTTATTTGTCACTTTGGATATTACAGGTTGGTTCTTTGTAGAATGTTCGTCAATCTGGGCTTTTAAAATTTTCCTCGTGATTAAATTCCTGGCATGCCTTTTGGTCAGAATTGTCACAGAGGTGATACTGTGTTCCTCTTATTTCAATGCAAATTTTTGATTTGTCATACTGCTGATAATAACTTTAATCACTTAATTAAAGTGATGTTTACTAGGCTCCTTCACTGTACAGGGACAATTCCTACTTGTTCTTCAATGTTATATAAATTTGCCCTCACTTTGAAAGAATTGAACCAACCCCTGCTTGGATCAAATTCTTAATTACAGTCACCTTCACAGTCTGTCAGACTTTTCTTGCACTAAAGTAAGGTTAAATAAGAACCATATGCACTTAGTCAAATTTGCCTAAAAATTGTTAAAGACACAGGAACAAATCTTGTTCGCAACCCTGGGGACTACCTTACTCCTTTTATTTGGCTACTAATAAGTATTTTTTTGAGGAAGTACTTTGAAACTATATAACTATACTGTTTCTCATCAAAAGTTTTTGAACTCCCTAAAATAAACCTTTAAAACCCATTGCTGTCAAGTTGATTCTGATTCATAATGACTGTAAAATGGTATGTGAAATTGTGTTTGAAGGGTAAAGCCATGAGAGAGTCCACAACTTTCAGCACATTTTAAAAAGGAGTTTGTGACCCTGAAACTACTACAGTTAGGAATACTGATCCTGGAGAATACAGAAAGATTGTCTGTTATAGGACTGGCTCTTCATTGTTTTGAGGTTCGGGGAAGGGGAGAAATAAAATGAAGCATAACGGATAGGACTTTTACAGGTAAATGTGAGCCAAGAATAACACATGCATGAATAACTGGGAGAGTGTGAGTGGGTTGTACATGCCCATTTCCAGAAATTTTGAAAAGTTCAGAGTATGTGGTGTTTTATTTTTCAGATGAGCAGAACTATGTTCTCCGAGATGCTGAGGCTGAAGTACTTTTCTCTTTCAGTTTAGAAGAGTCGTTAAAAAGGGCACACGTTTCTCCACTCTTTAAGGTACACTTTAAAGGCAAAATCGCCTAAGTCCAAGAAGATGTAAGGGATCATACCACTGAAGATAATAGTTGAAAGCACATATCTAGAGGAGTTGAGTTTACCCTGACTTCCCATTTCATGGTTTGCTTTTCTTATAATATAGCTACCGAAAGCTTCCCCCAGTGCAGTAAATACCAGTAGAGTACTTTTTGTTAAGAGTTTACATTCTTTTTTCTGCTTTTAACAAGAGGATATTACAGATTCCCATTAACTGTATATTCACTTGAAGAAGGTACTTGAAAAAACATGAATGTATGCCTAAGTAATGTATAATAAATATTTAAAAATATAATAAGGTAAAATAGAGTGGATAAGTGTATCAGTGAAGGTAATCTATTCTTTAAACTTCTTGTAGAGCCAATCTAAATTTCAGAAATGATTTGCAATACTGAGTTTAAATATTTTGGACCTAAAATAATCAGTTCTGGACCTAAAATAATCAGTTATTTTAAATGCATGAATTTTTCTTTTTATGTGAGCAATTTAAAACAACATAGTATTTTGTGGTATCATTAAGAACAAAGTTGTTAACAGAATCAAAACTATCAATAGCCATTTAACTATCAGTATCATTTCCAACTAATACAGAGGTAATATAGAACAGGAATACAGGCCAGGAATTGTGCTTTGCCCATCTGTTGCTTCATGTAATGCTAATGTTTTATAAGAATAGTAAAAGATATTTGTAAGTTTCTTGCTTATATCACACAGTATTTTATGTCTTTTAAAAGTTCTAATTACTTTTAAGAATTACCTATCATTCCTACATATGAACATGCTTCAATAACTTCCAGGCTTTATATAGGGATTCCTCTAAGCTCACTTCAGTTTTGAGGACTAACTGAAGACCACTAATGAAATTAGACTTTCATCAAAAATATTAGTATAGAATTTATGAAAAACTGTGTATTCTAAAAATTAAAAGCATGTTTTTTAAATATTATGCTTATATTTTTATTTCTTTTTAGGGAAAGTATTTTTATATCACACCTGGGATCTGCCCAAGTCTTTCAACTATGAAAGCTATAGTGGAATGTGCAGGAGGAAAGGTATTATCTAAACAGCCATCTTTCCGGAAACTCATGGAGCATAAGCAAAATAAGGTAGACATAAAATAAGCCGTTTATGTCATTATTGTCATAAAAAAGATTTGTTGTTAATATTAAATTTATTTTCTTTTCTTTAGAGTTTGTCAGAAATAATTTTAATATCCTGTGAAAATGACCTTCACTTATGTCGAGAATATTTTGCCAGAGGAATAGGTATAATTTATTGTTCTTGCTATGTGTTAGTGTATGTGTGTGTATATATATATTTATATGCTAGCAGTGCATTTCTTTTAATAATTTTTCTTTTCTTTCCTTTCAGATGTTCATAATGCAGAGTTTGTTTTAACTGGAGTCCTTACACAAACACTGGACTATGAATCATATCCTTTTTGAAAAAGAATGAAAAGTTTTGAAGGGCTTAATATGAAAATGGATTTCCAAGAGTGATGAAGCAATGTCTTTACTGGGTTTTTTTCTGTTAATATTTATGCAGTTAGCAATTCCTTCTCTTTAGAAAATTCATTTGAGTATAAAGTAAAATCATTCTCATAACTTACTGAAAGTTCATATTCATTATGTGACTTATTGATCAGAAAGGATCTGCACTATCTAGTTTAAGTATTTCAGTAACTGGCAGTTAGATAAAATGGAGAAAGTAATTGCAAAAATAAATATATGCGAATTTCTTGAACTCATTTCTCAGCTTGAATTTCAGTGAAATTTAGAATGCATATTGTCTGCTTGGAAACTTTGAGATGTGCAAATCAAAATACAATTTAATAGAATTAGCATCAAAGTGAATAATATATTATGTTGCCGATAGATAAATACAATGATAACTCTTAAGAATAATACATTTTGACACAAACATTATGTTTAGGCATTTTGGAAAAGAAAGGGAGGCTTGTCATATTTTTTTTATAATCCTTATTCTAAATCTCTAAATTATTACTTTAATATGACAGTGGCTTACCAGTGAAGCAGGAGTGTGTGCCTCATAAGTCCTTAGGCACAATGAAAATATATGTTTCATTGCAGATTCCCCCTAAAGAGGACAGCCCTGGGAAAAGATTTCATGGAAATTTATCCCTTGGGCTGGTCACAGTTAGGCTAAGGGTAGGCAAAAAAAAAACTTCTGCTCTCTTGTAAATGGATTGTTATGTACATCTCTCTGGCTAGTGTCAGCTTTAGCTACATTAGTCCTTAAGCAAAAGAAGCTTGGATAGGAGTACTTCAGGTTTTTGTTTCATGAGCAATCATAGAGGTTAGAAAGACATCCTTGCTCAGTTATTTCTTTTTTCCTTCATGTTAATTAATTTATGAAACACTTTCTTTTAAGTAGAAGACCTAGATATCATTGGGCATAAAACACTTTTAAGAAGAAAAGTTTCCCTGAATTCCAGAAACAAAGTCATGTGTAGCAATAATAGCTTACCCAGTTTGAATGATGTGTAGTGCAGAAACATTCTTTTCATTACTATCAACATTCTATATTGCATATCTTCTTCATACATTAGGAAATAATTGCAGGATTTACTGATAACATAATAAAAGACTTGTCTAATTTTTACAGATGTGCTGTAAACCCTTTGTTTTATACAATATGTATTATTCTTTTCCACATTTTTTCTACCATTCATATCTGTATTTGTGTAAGCCTACTATTTTTTACTTCAGAAGGAAGAATTGCTTAAACTTTATGTGGGTGATTTGTGGATATTATTTCAGGATATTTTGTTCAGTTCTGTACCCTGAAAGTAGCCTAATTTTGCCCCAAGTGGGTGGTTTAGAATTGCAGAGGTTGTTAGGTGCTCTTGAGGATATTGGTAAGAATCCGTTTTTTTTTCTGGTGGGCCTTTTGGGATATCAGCTTATCAGTGTGTTAAGCATTGTAAGTGTAAGTTTAAAGGAGAATTCAACTATTATTAGATCGTAACTTTGGCTGCACTTTGAAATTAACTGATCGCTGAAAAAGAACAGTGATACCTGGGTCCAAACTTATCCTGCTACCTGGGCCCAAGCCCCAAAGATCTTATTTTACTTAGCTAGAGTGAGACTCCCCACCCCTACCCCCATGACAGGATTTCACATCTCCTTTGATGTGACTATGTAGCCATACTTGTTGGTGTGTGGATAAGAGAAATGCTGTAGCATTCTTATTAAGTGACACCTGACGTCAGTTAATTTTGAATTAGAATCCATTATTTAATGTTGTTCATTGTGTTTGCACTTTGTTTTCCTCAACAAGCCTACATATAAATTTAATTGATGGCATCTAAGCTGTGTGTGCATCTAAGCTGTGTGTGCCTCTGGAGTCCTGGAGCACAAGATCTGACCGTTAGAGCTGTTGGATAAAGCACCCAGGGCTTCCACAGACGCTCTTGTTTTCCAGCTGCTTTCTTAGGAGACAAGCATTTTAAAGCAGGAAAACAAATATAGTAAATTAACTGCATCTTATTAAGATGTGTGATTTTATTCTGAGGAAACATAAATTATGTTTTGTATTATATGAATTTAAGAGCCCACATTAGGTTTTATGATTCATTTGCCAGATTTTTAAATGTTTTCACAAACTGTTACAGAGCTTCAGCTACAAGTAAAATGGTGTAAATAATGACCTTGCTATCTCTAAATTATGGATGTTAAAGAAATGAACTGTTTTGTACTTTGATTATTTTTATTTCTTATACTCTGTTTTCTTTTATATTGATATCTTGCCCACATTTTAAATAAATGTACTTTTGAATTGTACTTAGAACTGATTGATACTGTTTTAGTCATTTTTAATATATAACGGGTGATTTGCATCAAATTGGATCGTTTTATTTCAAGGCAAAATATTTTCTATCAGTACAATGAGTAAACTCCCAGGCACAGGTATATTAAACATAATTTAGCAATTGTTACAGCAACAACAGCATAGGCACCAACCACTCAGAACCAGTGATGTCCCCAAACAACCCGTCAGCTCTGCTTCTGTTTCAAATCTTAATTCTAATACAACTCCTATTGGATTATAGCTGCAATAAAAAATATTGGAGGCTACCACGCTCTTGGATTTATACCATATCAAATGGCAGTTTTAGCATCCTTGTGGGACTCAAATCATGTTCCTTTTCAATGTTCCCTGAGTTTGGGGAACAAAAAGAAGTCTGAATGGGCAAGATCAGGGTTTTGGGAAGAGAATGGGGTAAGATTTCCCAATGGAATTCTTGTAGAGCAATTTTGCTTGTCTGGAAGAATAAGCAATTGGGATGTTTTTATGGAAAAAGTTTTTTGGCACAACTTTCCTGTCCTTTTTCTCACCAGTACAGTTTTCAGTTTTCTTAAAAAGGTTTCATAATAAGGCACATGATTCTCCTGTGTGCTTTGAGAAAAATTTATCAAGATGACCCATTTGGAATCCCAGGAAACAGTTGCCATAACCTCCTGAGCTGAGCTCTCGTCCTTGAATTTAACTGACCCAGCAGATACCCTCAGAAGCCACTATTTCGATTGGTACTTGCTTTCTGGATTAAATTATAATTCAGGACTCATCTCTGGTTATAATTCTTTCTATAAAATTGTCTTCATTAACTTTAATCTTGCTTAAAAGACTGATGGAAAGATCAGTTCTTTGAGCTAGTTGTTGCTACATGTAACTCTTTGGCATCCTTTTAGCCAAAAGCATGCTGAGGTCAAGATGTTTACTTAAAATAGCTGATGCCAAAACCATGTATGATCCCAACTATAGTAGTTGTTGCATCAATGGTAATTCTATGGTGTTCTGCCAGTTTCTGGACTTCAACCACAATTCATCAAGGTTGACTTCATCAAGTTCTAACTTTTCTTGGCTCATCTTTATGGTCATCCCAACCTTTCTTTAAAAAAATCAAGATCCATCAAAAACCTTTTATCTGAGGCCGTATTCCCATAAAATCTGTTGCAAAGCTTAGATGATAAGTGAAGACACCCATTTTGGGTTTTGTTAAAATTGTCGTATCAGTCCGTACCTCAATATTGTTTATTTTTTTCTCCATGGAACAAATGTATCCGTTTTTGAAGGCGCATAATGAGACTGATGACACTTTAGGACTGTAGGATAAGCACTGGACTGCTAACCACAAGACCCGGGAACACTTAACAATGAGACTAAAAGACAAGTGTTTTACTGAAAGACCCTGTTTGCAACCATCACAGAGACATGTTGAAACACATTTTGTATGAACTGGAACCACTTGTACTACTTGTTGGTACTTGTATCTAACAAACTGTGCCTTAGAATGTGTCTACTTTTAAGGATGTAACTTTGCACCTAAGAGAATGTACAGATACTTACCTGTAGAACTAACCTTTCATTAACCACAGATGGAATTTCTGTTGCTATGGAATGTAATTCTGTAGAATCCTGGACATACAGAAGAATTTCCTCAAGTTAGGATAAAATTTTGATTCGCAAAGTATTCAAAATGTCATACTAGTTAGAACCTTGAAGAAAAGTGAAGATAATTAGAGAATAAATGTACCTTCTGGGTAAAGTATAATGCATCTGTTTAATCATCAGTGGAGACAGGGTGTTTATTTAACCAACATACAAGTATTACTGATTTGATTAACCTTTCAATTAGTGCTTTTCTAAAGCTGCCAAGAAATAATCCTTAAAAAACTCCAGGAGCTGTCCAAAGCCAACTGGTTTGACCAGCTGTTAAGCACCAATTCACTGGCTAAGTTGGAGATAGATAAAAACATGAATAAAGATTTCAAGTATAAAAGCTTTTTAGAAAAGTTGATTATATCAGAAAACTTTATTTCTCATAAGAATATCTTTCATTATTGCTGCTGCCTTTTTTTCTAGATCAACTCTAATAGAAATATGTTAGTTAGGTGTATACATAATTTTCAATTTCTAGTAGCCACAATAAGTAAAACAAAAGTTAGTTTTAATAGTTATTTTATTTAACCCATGTAGCCAAAATATTTTAAATATTTTTATATCAATACTTCAAAATATTAAAAAAGTATATTTTTACTTTATTTTTTGTGCTAAATCTTTAAATCCAGTGTGTATTTTATATTTAGAGCACATCTCAATTCTGACACTGAATTTCTTTCGAAATATTTGATTTGTATTTAGATTTATAGTTGAAAAAGTAGGTTTACATTTCCAAGTTTTAAATATTATATAATAATCAAATCAAGTGCCAGTTTTTTCATTGAAATTAATGTTAAATGTAGTTTAAAATTCTCTTCCTCAGTTGCACTACACATTCAAGTTCTTGGTGACCAAGTCTAGGTCGTAATCCTTGCAGAAAATAAATAGCCTTTTGAGCTATGCTGTCACAGTTTACCCAAAATTATATGCAACATATTGGCAAACAAGCATGAGAGGGGATGGGAAT